ATAAAATCTATATTCACGTAACCTTTATCCCTTCATTCCAAACCTCTTATACTAATTTTCTAGCTACGCAGCAACATAGCATACATAGGCCAATCTTCAAATCAACCTCATATCAGGTCACTTCGAATGGTCTAATGCAGTTTGAATCTTCGTAACTAACATGAATTGAAACAAATAAAACGATTACCTTTTCTTCTGTTTCTGTTTACCATCAGCCCAAGATTTGTTTGTTCTTTTGTGCCTCTTCAATCCTGCTTAATAAAAGTTTACCAATTAACCGATTCAAGTTGCAGTGTAATGAGCAAAGTTGAAGCACATGAAAAACCAATTCAATCTGCTTATGAAGTTGGATTGCGACGCAACATTCAAATAATGTTTAAAAAAAAGGAAAAATAAACAAAAAAATAATATGACGTTGCTCACTGAGACATGGCGCTGGCATCTTTCAATGAATAGCTTGATTTCTGCACGTAATTGAATCTCTGTAGCGCTCTTTCTTTGATTCCTTCTGAAAAAGATCAAAAACAGAGAAAGGAATCAAGAATTCCTTCAAAACCCATTGTCTCAAACCCACACTTCTTTGCATTGAACACCTTGTTTCGAGAAATAACAAAAACTCATTAAAGGAACCTGCTCCTTCTGTTGCTAGAGAAACGCGGTTGCTGCTGCGCGAGAATTTGAATTCGGCTGTGAGTGAATTGAGAAGGGAAGGGAGCAGCTGTTTCTTCTTTTTTTCTCTGAGAATAGGGAGCGAAACCGGCCTTTTTGAACTTTAGGGTTTAGGGATATAATATGTTTTTCTTAAAAAGAAAAAATCAAAATGCATAATAAAAACGAAATTAAAAAATGGGATCGGGTCGGGTCGTCAGGGAACCTGAAGCATTAGTTAAAAAAACCCGTGTTGCGGGTTGCAAGCGGGGTGTGTTGACACGTGGTAATGAAAAAGAAGCCTTTGAAAATTGTTTTGAAATAAAAACGACATGGTTTTTACATTGGCTCGCCCTAAAACTTCAAAACGACGTCGTTTTAATAAAAAAATAAATAAAAATCAACGGGTTTTTAACCGGGTTTTGCCGGATCGACCGGGTTTCCAGGTCGGGCGGGGCACGCCGGGTCATAGCTTACCTTATTTTTTCATCAACCCGGCCCGGTTCCAGCCCCGGGTTGACCGGGTCCCGGGTCAACCTGTCGGGTCGGGCCGGGTTTTAAAACTATGACATGAAGCATTAGTTAAAAAAACCCGTGTTGTGGGTTGCAAGCGGGTGTGTTGACACGTGGTAATAAAAAAAAAAAACCTTTGAAAATTGTTTTGAAATAAAAATGATATGGTTTTTACATTGGCTCGCCCTAAAACCTGGCCTTGAATCATGAGGTTGATTCACCAATTTAAGTTATTTATTAAGAAATACTCTAAAACATGCTAGGGAAATATTGCTTTTCATGTGTTCACCCATAAATAAATCACTTGGAATGCTATAATTAAACCATGTTTATTAAGTAATAACAAGATTTAAAGATAGGAGGTAAAAATAAAGACAGGAAAAAAAATTGTTTTTCTTAATTTTGAGTTAAATATACATTTTGGCTTTTTAACTTTTTAAATTATAAACTTTTAATTTTTATCAATTTACAATATTCAATTTTTATCTCAAATTTTATTTTTTTATGATTAAAGAAAAAAAAAGTTTATTGGATTCTAGTTATAAAAAAAAAATCTCGGTTAAAATTAATTACAGCAGTAAAAATATGTGATTTTGATTTCAATAAATTCTTCTTTATAGGAAATGTTTTCGTAATATGTTTTTTTCTTAAACTTGCTTGAAATGATATATTTAAACACGAAAAAAATTTAGTTCTAGATTAATTATGGATTTTAGAGCTAATTTTCTAATTATTAGGGTAATAGATATATTTTATAAGATATTTAAAGTTTGTTTCTGCGTTTCAAACGTTTTTGAAAAAATTCAAAAGTGCTTCTAAAAAAATTTGAAATTTTTTATTTTTTTATTAACTTTAAATTAATATATTTTTAATATTTTCAAATCATTTTGATATGCTGATGTCAAAAATAATTTTTAAAAAATAAAAAAACATCGTTGCCATGCATTTTAACACGAAAAACTATTTGAAAAGCAACAACAACCACGCTTCTAAACAGACTCTTAGTAAGACCCATGACCAAAACTCGTGTTTCCGGTAAAAATATGTGATTTTGATTTTAATAAATTCTTTTTTATAGGAAATGTTTTTGTAATATGTTTTTTTTTTAAACTTGCTTGAAATGATATATTTGAACACGAAAAAAATTTAGTTCTAGATTAATTATGGATTTTAGAGCTAATTTTCTAATTATTAGGGTAATAGATATATTTTATAAGATATTTAAAGTTTTTTTGTATCAAAATATAATTTCAGATTAAGAGAAACAAACCAATCTGATTTCCAATGACAAGAGATTGTTGGAATTTAGGTAATGCAAAAATTAATGTCTATTTTAAATAAAAAATTATAAAAAAAACCTATTGAACTTAATTGAGTCAAAGAGCACAAATTTAACTTGTTCACTTTAATTGGGTATAAATTGGGCTTGATAATTTTGTTGCAAACAATTATTGATTGATTTAATTAGATATATATATATATATATATATATATTTTTTTTTTTTTTTTTAGAATTTTTTTATTTACAAAACTATATCATAAAAATCTGTAAAGCATGAGTCAAATAGCGAATAAAAACTATAATGTAAAAGCCATTGCATTTGATTTAGTTAAAAAAATGTTTATTTGATCATAAACATTTTTTTTTCTAATTTTGGATAACCTCGAACAAAGGGGGTTATCGCTGATGAACAGACCATTTTTTATCCATAACACAGTGCATGGGATTTATTTATAATTTTTTTATCTAATTATTTCTAACTATCATTTACAGTGGCATCTGTGATCCAATCATTGATCCCTTGTATACTGTGATAACTACAATGCTTTTTACCGATTTTAAAGAGATAAATATATAAAAATAATTGTATTAATAAAATAATTTTATATAATTTCTTTTAAAAACAAGAATACAACTCTTTATTCCTACTGTGTCTTTTTACTTGAGACAGGAACCAACCAACCATTATCACAGCTCTATCTATTTTTATGTTTTAATTTTTTTTAAAAAATAAATTATTTTATTTACTTCAAATTAGATTTTTTTAGTATTTTTAAATTATTTTGATGTGTTAATATTAAAAATAAATTTTTAAAAATAAAAAAAATATTATTTTAATATATTTCTAAATAAAAAACAATTTATCTAATATAAAATTAAGCAAATAATATCATACTCAAGGTAACACCCTTTGCTACCCCAAAATCAATGTTCAAACAATCCTGAAAAGATGTCTATAAAAGGAGCATGAGAATTAAAACATTTAATATTTTTATAATTCACATATACAGGAGTGCAGTAGAGATGTGTAATGAGCACTAACTGGTAAATTTATCTGCTACACAAAGCTCTCACATCTTGAGAATCCATGAAAATGGACAAGCTTTAGTTATCATAAAATCTTCTTGCAGCTTGATGAAATAAAGCAGCTGGGCAGAGAGGAGTAGTCAATACAAAAGAGACAAATTAATGAAAGCATGTCTGCAATTCTAGTTCATAGTTCAAGTGGTGAGGTAAGTGATTAAACATTTTATCCTCCAATAATTAAGGACTGTCGTCATCCTTTCATGTTTTCAGCTATGATATTGGAATTTCAGGCCTGTCATTGTCTACCGTAAAGCTCTTCACAGTATGGTTTTCCAAACCTTTTCAAGGTTTAATCCTTTTCTTCGTAACTACTGCCTAGTGGTGAAATCACCATGATTTTAAGCAACTTTTGATCAAAAAAATGCGATTTAGTAACACAATCATCACAAATTACACGCACCCCACCAACAATCATCAGTGAAAGACCACTAAAATGAAACTGCGAGGACTACAAAGAAACTTGTTAATAAATGCATACCTTGTCCCTGAATCCCTTGTTGATCTGTGGAGACCCTATACAAGGATTCTCAACATCACCATGCAAAGATTCTTCTCTCTCTTTCAAAAGGAAACAAATGCAATTCAGAAACAAAAAAAAACCTGCAAAAATTAGAGAGAGAAATAACTAAAATTCAATTTCAAGTCTAATTCTTAAAAAAAAAAAAATTCTCAGCAATCAGACCGCCAGATCTAAAGATTCAACACCCACTACTCCTCATACACTTACCGAGCCCGAAACTCGTACATGGTAATTAACAAAAAGAAAATTAATTAGATTCATGAAAAATAAAGGCCAAGTTGAGCAAAAGTGTAGATCCAAACTTGCGAAAACTTGGGCCTTACCAAATTTTTAGCTTCCACAACCCAACATTGATTTTATAGTTTTAAAACCCGGTCCGGCCTGACAAGTTGACCCGGGACTGGAACTAGGCCGGGTTGATGAAAAAATAAAGTAAGCTATGACCCGGCGTGACCCGGCTGACCCGGCGGATTGACCCGGAAACCCGGTCGATCCGGCAAAACCCGGTGGTAACCTGTTGATTTTTATTTATTTTTTATTAAAACGACGTCGTTTTGAATTTTTTTTAAAATAAAAATTGGCCCGGCTGACCCGGTCAAAACCCGGAACCCGGGCCTTGGACCGGGTCAGCCACCGGGCCGGGTTTAAAAACTATGATTGATTCTTTGATTAGTTCACAGGAGAGCAAGGTTCTTTTGTTCTTGTAGGTAGCAAATTCGGCGGTAATAAAAAAGAGCAAAAATTTAGCAAAACCATGTAAAAGCTGCTTCTCAAAAGCTGAATTCATAACTTATTTATTGGTAAGACCCATGACCAAAACTCGTGTTTCATTTTGTAACCAAATGAGATAAAATTGTGGTTGAATAGAAAAGTTAAAGCTATCACATTGTCAAATCGCATTGTCAGAGGGGCTCTTAATTTATTTAATGAACGCATTCGCAGAGCCTATTGACAGGGAAACCTTTTGGAAGACGGCTTTTCCTATTGACATGCATGGCTTCCAATGCAGTACAAAAGGACACATTGTATTTGTATAGCCTCTCCTACCTTATAAAGAAAAGCCATTTACCAAACAAACCCATCAAACGATTTTACAGAATTAGCTATCAAGGAGCTTTTCATTCCCTTTGAATCTGTGTTGCAATCAAAACTGTTATCCTACTGTTGCTCCTTTCGTTTGGGTCCAAATAGTTGAGCTACACAACATATGTACAAACCATTCCGTGGCACATGCATATTTACTGACTTTACAATTCCAATCTGGTAATTGATGGTGGAAGCTTTCTGTGGCAGTCATGTATTAACATGATCAAGACAAAGGATGCTTGCATGATTTGGTTGTTATTCCTGCACATGTTGTAATAATGGGATTAGCTGCGAGGCTTTCCAAATGTTGCGGCTGCGCTAGCAATTGACAGGCCACACCAGTGGATCCACATCATGATCATGATGTTTGATTCTCTGCATAGAGTTTAAGTGTAGAAGAGTGAAAGCAGGGACAACAAAGCCTCGATCCCAACTAGTTTGGGATCGGTTTCACAGAAGCAAATTTCAATTGATCAAAGAACACTACTAATTTTTTAGTTCCAACTACCAATGAATGAGGAGCATCAATAACCACTATCCGTGATTAAAATAAAGACGAAGTTGAAACCAGCATGAAAATCATCATAATAATTTTCAAAACCAATCCTATACAATCCAGTCATAAAAAACCTAACCCTCTATCAACCTGGACGATATCTCAACTGAAAGGGTGTATTAATTAATGCTTCCTCTCACAGACCAGATAAATAGACCATGAGGTCCATACATAGTTAAAATCGTGTGTTCATCCAGCTTGATATTGTAATTCTCATAAAGCAAAGAGGAAGATATAAGAGGAAGTTCAAGTTGAGATCCCCCCACTTTAGTCATTCCAGGAATTGAATTCCTAAGATGGCTTTGAATGGTTTTGACATAGAAAGATTACCAAGTCTATGCACCAAACTCCATTTCAGGAATGATGTGATTTTCCAGCACAGGTACATAAGAATTCCAATCATATTTGTTACTTTTTATGGAATTACAAGTTCCTCAATTTCCTACTAAGTTACCACTTTACTACTGTACCCAGACTGCTAAACAGCTGTCTTCAATAAAACTTCAAGCTAGAATTCATTTGTCCTTTTTTTTTCAGACTAGTAGCACCCAACTAGACATTGGGAGCTGGACAAAGATGCGATCAAATGAAACCTTCAGTCAAGCAACTAAGGTCTAAGGGGTCCTCCTTACATCCATTTTACAATATATAGTGAAGCAATATTAAATTTCAAATATATGCAGGGTTAGTGAAATTGAAAAGCATTACCTTCCCCATATTGCTGTTCGAATCTAGCAACAATGTGCTTCCCATAAGTATATTTCTTCAGAGCATGCACATGTGTTCTTATTCGATTAAGCAACATTGCCCGCTGAATATCAGTACAGGTGTCAAGAATCTTTTGGACCACATAATTTGCGTATTGGTCCTTCATCATTGTCTAAAATATAGCAACAGAGAAAAATATTGAGTGGAATAATACTGGCTCAACATCATATAGCTGCAAAGTTTGTCTGATCTAAAATAAAACAATTCATTTAGAACCCCTTCAAAAATTAATTGAGTAAGACAATGCAATCCCATAAAGAAATGCAAATTTCAACCCTCAGATTGAAATTGCCCAAGAGATTGAAGATATTGGCAAGCATGCAAGGGCAGCATTATAATAATAAAATCACCCCCTTTCTTTACTCATTTGCCCACATAATCTCAATATTTGGGCAAGAAACCCTAATGACATGACATGTTGGAGCTAAGTTGGGTTGACTCTCATATGAGACAGAAATAAGATGTGAGCTAATTTTACAGTTGATAATAGAACACCGTCATTTATCAGACAATAAGAATGAACAGAGAAATCCTAAAACATGCTACAATTTTCATTCTTGGTAGCATTGAAAGTTTATGAAGAGAAATAAGATGTGAGCTAATTTGACAGTTGATAATAGAACACCGTCATATATCAGACAAAAAAAAATGAACAGAGAAATCCTAGAACATGCTACGATTTTCATCCTAGGTAGCATTGAAAGTTTATGAAGAGAAATGGCACGGTATAATAGTCTAACTGGAACAACTTCATTCGAAGGATTCAAAGCTTGATATCATGATCACTGCATCACAAGGGAGTTGTGCACCTCACACTGAAACCCCAACATAATAAAAATATATCTTCTGGACACTATAAAACATGATTTAAATGAAGTTTGAAATAATAGAGAGAAACTATGTTTGTTTATGAGCTTCAAGTCTAGAAACAGCATTTTTCTTTCCACTGTCAATTTAGAATTGCTGGTGCAGGTAATAGCATTGCTTCCCCTTCACCTTTGATGCATGTCAGGCACATAAGAGTTCCACTTGTTTACAACATACATACATATATATATGTATACATACATACATACATACATATATATATAAACAGCACACATGAACATGCACCAGGCATCAGATTTAGAAGTTGAAAGTAGTGAATTTTGGCAACTTGTGTTGGTGATAAAAAGCAGCTGCTAATATGCATTCTGTAAGTCAGTTTTCAGAAATCCCACAAATTTTAGTTTTGTAATTATTCACAGAACGACTAAATAAGCCATGTGTTAGAGAGGTGGATGTGATTAAGGATTTCAATCCAAATTAAAAAAGCTTCATTAGACTCACCAATAGATTATCGTTTCCTTCATTCTGCCCAAGAATCTCTTGAATTATTATTTCCCGCTCAGTGGCACCACCATATTCCAAACATTTCTCTACAACATTGGACCCAAACTTATGCTGGCTGAGTAGAACAATATGCCCTGACAATTTGCTAATAATCCGGTATCTTTCAGGAGGTTTCCCCATCTCCAATACATGCTGTTAAGAATACATGCATCACTATTTATACAACAATTGAAACAAGGAATTCACATCCAATAAGGTAAAAACCCACTGGATAATTTGGCATCTTTCATGGAATTCATTGTAAATTCACATCACCATTAAGCAACTGAAACATGGAAATCACATTGAATACAAAATGGGAGGAAGGTTTAAGCTGACTTCCATCCTTCAATTGGATAATTGCATCCAAGTCAGAGTGCTCCATGGAATTCCTGACTTCCATCCTTCAATTGGATAATTGCATCCAGGTCAGAGTGCTCCATGGAATTCCTATCTTTCAACAAGGATAAATCCTATTCTTACCACTCTGAATGCAGATCTATCTTTCAAGGAATGAGATCTACCTTTCTGAGATTAAGCATTGGGAATTGATGTGGCTCACAATTTCTTTCCTAGTATGAGCAAGCATGCACCATTAACAGCATGAATGCACAATACACTGCAGGAGAAAGTGCCAGGTACGCACATGACACATTACCTGCATAGAGATCTTATTCCTCCTCCTCCAGGCTTAAATAATAGTCCCCTTCCCTTGTTAACAATCTCCGTCCCCCAAAAGTTACCAAACAAAATTAATCATCACTAGATCAACTATCAGACCATCTCACTTTATACCAAACCAAGTCAAGCTAAGCATAAAGAACATTTACAGGAAGAATCAATTGTTTGCTACAAATTTCAAGGTGATACAGCACAAAAGAAACACTAACCTGAGTCACATAATTTCCATACTGGTCCTGAGCAAGAATGAGGACAGACTCCAAGATCTCATTCACTATGAACTCACATTGCGGCTCATATGCACAATGCTCTAGAACTCTCTGCAATAAACCAAATGCATCAGTGTTTCATGACAATGTTCCTGCAGCCAACCAAAGGCGGGATAGGAAAAGGAAAGCAAGAAAGCTTCCAACGCACCAGTCAAGCCTAACATACCTGTATGACACGACAACCATAGGGATGCATGGAAAGTGTTGCAACTTCACCACAGAAGGCTGAGAATATGAATCCAATTTTTTCTGCTGGAACACTCTCAATGCACTTCTGTATGACATGATTACCATTCTGATCACGTACACATTTCATAACATGTCCATCCAATTCAAGGACAAGCTGTGCTTTTTGATCAAGCTCGATTACATCAAGTGCCTAAGAAACATCACAGGATCAAAATCAATGTCAATTCCAATATAACAAGGAGGAGGAGTTTATTTTATGAATAGGTAACAATATCCAATCTCAATAATGCACCAGATAAAGAAAAAAAAAAGAACAATATCCATCATTCAAACAAACCTCCACAACATCCATTTGACTATATGTGAGCAATATTCACTTTTCAGCACAGTGACCGCACATCAAACCCTTACAGCTACAGTCATAGGAAAAACCCTAAATTCTTAAAAACTCCCCCCGTCTCCTATTGGGTCAGGCAAAATTGGGTTTTTTAGGTTGGTTGTTGGTTCAGGTAGGATATCCATTTAATCAGACACTCAGATTGATCCACAATTCTAAGAATCACACCGATACTTTGTATTTGAAGGCAAGGCCTAGAACGGCAGGATGATCATTTTTAGGCCCACAGCTGACAGAGTGGACAGTTGGAATCTCGCAGGCCATTAGCAAGGCACTGGAATACATAAGACCTAATACTCTGTAAAGTCACGATATTTTTTTAAATAAAATTATTTGAAAAACTATTTGCTTAAATTAAATTATTTCTCAAATGGTTATTTAATTTATCAGATGCTCAGTCTAACAGAAATATAAAGGTAAACATCTCGCGATGAGTCTCGGAGATTATGCAAAAAGACCCTCTTGATTCCTACAGACACAAGTAAAAAAATACTTCATGCTAGGTTTGATGTGGGATCAATACTGAAGCAGTACCCAACACCCAATACCAATAAGAATCCCAGTGTTCCTATTCCTATTCAGTACTGATACCCTGTTTACAAATGTCCACACAATCATGTCCCCAAAGAATGTTGGCAGTCTGGCATTAGGTCTTTAAGCCCTTTGAAAAATGGGGATTCTTGTTGGCTGACAAAAATGGAATGGGGCCTCTATAGAGATAAAAACCCAATCTAACTAAATGCCAACCCAAATCACATATTCCCATGCACCACCATCTCAGGAAACTGCCAGGAGGCTCAGGGCAGACTTCTGTAGGCTACCTATAGCAAGGATGAAGAGAAATGGAAGACAAGATGCTCTCCTTTTAAGTCAAAAAACAAAACTAATGTGATTACAACAACAAATGACCGAAGTATAAGTTGTTGTCTTGAATAGGCAGATATTCAATATTGGTGCAAATGCAAACCTGACAATCATGCTGATCTTGCAATTAATTGAATACAAAATTATCTACCTTAACACATAACAGTTAAACCCAGCTTAACCTAAGTGTTGCAGAATTTTAGGAACAACAAACAAACGACCAATCATAGTTGCCATGCAAGTTAACTCATATAACCATATTGAGAACACAACGAAATGGCTTGAGTTTCACTGAAGATATGATATCGTACCGTCATTGACAATTTAACCAAATTCCAGAACGTCTCAATATCTGTAGCCTTTTCTCTTGGACTCACTCAGATGACAATTATAACCATTAGAATATCTACAACCTAACTTTATGAAATTTCCACAGCACGTACCTAAATAATTTAATAGTCCATTCAGGATTAACATTTTCCTTCCCTTTACCCCCCCTTTTTTTTTGTTTACTTTTACACATTCAATGACACAAGAGGAACATCGAGTAAGCAACTAGCTTGAAAAAGAACTCAATCAAATACACTTTAATCTAAATGAGTGAGAGTATAAGACTGGAAATATTAGATTTAGATCAAAAGCATACGAGTACGGAAATATTAGGTGTAGATCAAAAGCCTTCCAGAAGTTCCTCTACGTAAGCCATTCTTACACTTAGGGAGAGATATGGTAAAATGTTCCAATGGAAAAAAAAAAAAAACAGCCTGGTAACAAGACTTACAGTCAGAAATCCCAAGTAATTAGGGTTGTTAAGCAAGTTTCAGCTTAGCCAATACGTGATAGCAACATTAACTTGAAAGTAAAACCATAAGAAACTTTGCCAGTTTCAAACATATCCCATTAATCAAAACACAGAACTTTAACCTTTCACTGACTGGATGCATTCCCAAGCCTGTGAAAATAACCAGTTACACACTGGAATTTGCAAGTAATCTACATCAGATGGCAATAGAGATAACCACAAATTTGCAGGACGAAAGACTCTACCAGCAATTTGACAAATAAGCAAGAATTGCTTGCTTACAAAAACTAATAATTAGTGAAGTAGAGGCAAAAAATAAAAATAAAAAGAGTGCCTCTAGAGCAAACCCTAAGTGCACCTAGGAGAAGGGGCTTTAACTAGAGCATGAAAAAGGTTTTCTCCTTGGACAAGAATCTAGTGCTACTTGAGTAAACAAAAGTTGGTAAAAAAAACAGTGAAACATCCTATAACTATTGCCACAAGTTGTATATAGAATGATTATGCATTTGTTTTCCTTTTGTGCAAGCAGTAAACCATGGACACAGAATAAGAAAATACTACATGCTTGTGAGGAACACGTGATAGCAATGTGCCACAAGAATCACAAATACCTTTTGGATTACCCGACAGCCATACATCTGCAAACTTAGATGCAAAATTTGACCAGTCAGCTGATTAGCAAGTTCCTTCCTCTGCTCCATGCTTCCACACTCAAAAACCTGAAAGTAAACAAAAGGAAAACGACACTAAGACAATCAACATAGCCAGTAAGTGGTGAACATGACACCAAAAAATTGCATGTTTTAAGTACTCACTTTCTGAATAAGATAATTTCCAAAAACATCAGTCATTAATTTGGAAGCATGTGGAAGAACTTCTTTAAATACCAATGCCTTCTCTTCAGCACTGCAATTCTCCAACTTCTGCTGAATAAATCGGCTACCATGTTGATCAGCACTGAAGTTCAAAAAGTCCTCATCATTCAACTTGTCAGCATAAAAAAAGAATAAAAGAAAGAATGAAAGAAAGAAAGAAAGAAAGCTCAGTAGGGACGTGCCTAAATTCAACAATATGCCCTACAATATCAGACAACTCAAATCTGTGGACTTTGCCAGATTTCAACTCCTCAAGAAAATTATGTATTTTAGGGTCATTAAAACTCTCTGGTCCTCTTTGACCTTGCCATCCAGAAAATACAGACGCATATCTACCACTTCCTGGTGGAAACCTCATTTCATTTCTCCCTCCAGAAAAACCAGTGCCGCCCACTGGGGATCCTGGCAAAACAGGGCTCGAAAGCGGTGATGAGGGGTACTGCAATATACCTATGTTTGGTGAGTTTCCAAAATAAGGACGATTCATTGCACGCCCTCGACCTCGATTAAGATCACTCACTCCACCTCTCTGGTGGTGTAGCAGTTTCAGGTCCTCCAAGCCAGCAGCAACCTCAGATCCTTTCTTTGATGCAGGAGCATGGTTTTGTCTCCAACTAGCACCACCTCCAGATGCCAACGGATCAAATTGACCAGACATATTATATGTTAGTCCATAAGGCTGTTGATAGTATTGCATATAAAGAGGATCAATAAATGAAGGTTGAACTACATATCCAAGCTGCCCATAGAACTTGTTATAATGTTGCACATCAGCTCCATGGGCAAGGCTTCCTTCGCTTGAAGACCCAGACATTCCAGCATTAAAGTTTGGACTCGCAGAGCCATCAAAAACCATTGAAACCATACCATGAGGGGGGTATCCTGCAACATACGGAGGAATCACAGTTGAATTCAGAGCATACCCCCCTATACCATATTGTGGAGCACATAATCCTGGAGCCTGAAGATTTGGGTAAAATGGATTTGGTGAAGTCATGTAGCCAGCTGTCCCATAAAGAGGAGGTGTGAACCCAAGCGACTGCAATACCGACTGCACCTCCGCTGAGAACATTGATGAGCCATGGAGAAGTTGATCCATATCAATGTGTGCAGAATTTACTCCTTGAGAACCCATTTGAGACTTGGCATTTTGAACTTGAAACGCATTGCTTGGCTGTTGGTGGACTTGGTGTTGCTGCACATGGCTCTGGTAGCTGTGATGCCACTGCTCTTGATATTTTTGCTCCTTGGAATTCTGAGGGCTAGATATATTAAGGTCCTTCCTTCTAGATTCAATAATGCCAACGTCTACCCTATTTAAAAATCCTTTGCTAAGAGGTGGTTTGGGTTGTGTGGTTCCTGTACAATTAAGAGACAATGAGCTTGTAATAGGCAGGATTGAGGGATCAGCATTCAATGATAGTCTTGACATTTTTCATACCTAGAATTGATGGAATGCCATTGGATGTGCTAGTGGTGGAATCATGCAAGGAACCGGAAAAAACATCTTGATCAGCTGCTTCATCTGTTGTTCCAGGGCTTAAGGAGAGAGACTGGTTATATACAGGAGATGGAGTACGGGGGAAATCCTCCTGCATATGTGAATCAATTATTAACACTTATAATAAAGTTATTCAAAAGGAGTAAAGGTATAATAAACAATCCCCTTTTTTTTATGCTGATGTTAAAACCAATAAGCAGCATGCTGCTCATAGGAATTACATTAAATTATGGATTTATTTTTTTATATTTCTTCAACCTTGTAGAATTAGGATTACTATTTTTACTCTTGTTTTGATTTAACTGGTGAAGATTTACAGTTAACATTACAAGCCAAAACAACTCTGGACTACAGTGGGGTAAATCCATGGTTAATTTTATCATAGAAAAGAAGGAAGCTAAAATTTGAAGTTAACAATGAAATAAATATATACATGAAATATATCCATGAAAGAATGGCACATAATAATGAAGAATGTGTTTGACATGCTCCAACACAGACGTAATGCAAAAAGAACAAAGCTAGAAGCAAGTAATGACACTGTTCTGTAAGTTCTGGAATTTACATGCTAAAACTAAGAACTCTCCCGTTTACATTGGAGTAATGAGGCAAAAAAAAATTAAGGGGAGCTATTTTAAGGCAGGGAGATTACATCTAAACACAACAGAACAGTAAATTATATAGTGAGGTATCCAAGCACAGTAATGAATAGTCAAATCAATGAACAAATTCCCATGAAAGAAAACAGCTACCTGAATTATATCAACCAAGCGTTTGGATTGCCCTGCCATTGGAGCAGCACCATCTCCAGACCAAAACCCATTTGTCGTGTTGGCTAAACTGTCTAAGGGGTCCTTGGGTGAGTGGTCATCCTCCAACTCTTCCTTGTGGGTAGAAAGTACTCCTTGCGACAAATGCAAGGAGTTTTTACTGTTGTCATCTATTGGAGCCAATCCCCAATTAGTGCCAAACTTAACAGCATGGCGTCCCGGATGCTGATTCTCCCTTGGGATGGGTGGTGTAGGAAGTCTAAGGTTTGGGCTAGCACCGGTACCATAATAAGATAGATATGACTGCTTCTCTGAATTGAAAGCTACAAGAGCATTGTTTGAACTCCCCAGCCTAGGATTAAGGTTGGAATTTTGCTGAGAAATGAGGTTGTTTATTGCGAAAAAGGAGCCTTCCATGTTTGGGGGTGCACTTCCACTTCGATTAGGGACTGCATCTCTCCCACTGCCACGGAATCTTTGAGCATTTCTAAGAAATCGCAAATCCTCCACTGCCATATTAGGAGTTGATGGAACAAAAGTTGCTGACTCATGGGAGGGCATTCTAAGTGGACTCTCTGTAGCCATATTGCTAAAATATTATTATTATTATTATGGTGTTCTTTCCTAATCAAGGAGTACCAAGATATCCCACATGGTTCCCTGGAAAATGCATCAATTTACCATGGTCATTAGCGATAAGAACTTGGCTATCTGGAGACTCACAAACACTATTTTGTAAAGAAAAATGAAGAATTGCATAAAACAACATGTCCAATCTTTGCAAGTAAAGCACAAGCAACTATGACAGTGACAGAAGGGAAACTCCTTCGGACGTTGAATTAAGAACTCCCATCGAACCACCATGACAACCATACTCAATTTGACTAATGATCAATCAAGATGTCTATAAGTTCAAACGGAAGCCATTCACCATGCATGTAGCTATAAAAAAAGCACAGTGAGAAAACAGCAAAAGAATCAGCAACATTGAGACTCTCTATTTGGTTGCTAAAACAAAAGCCAAACAAACAAGATAGGATAAAACATCAAAACAGCAGAACCAAACACTTTCACTCTAACCTGGTTGAAAAGAGTTCCTCACCATTCAAAATTTTGGAAAATAAAAACTTAGAAAACTTTTCTATCTTCTCACTCTCTTTCCTCATCAACAAAACAATAAAGGTATGGAACAGTACATTCTTCTTAAGCTGACATTACAAGTATCTCTATTAACCATAAAAAAAAAACACCCATTTCACATAAATTCAGACCAAAACTGAGTCCCGGTAACATCAAAAACTTGTAAAGAAAAATATTTTTGGATGAACAGAGAGAGAAACCAAGACCCTTTACATAGAGTTTTAAGAATGAAACTCCACCCATCAAAGAGTTGATGCATGACTCCCGTAAACTCTTTTCCTCCATGTACTTCAACATACTTGAGTAATTTTAAACACATTTAAATCTTAATGGAGTTGTATTAATTACCAATCATGTTTTCATAATCTTCTAGCTTAACAAAACTTGAATTGAAATCTAACTTAAACCACTAGATGGGATGATAATTTGTATGCAGTCATGAGGTTATCTAACAAGTTACACGCCAAAAAACAAGGTCAAACAACAGGAAGCCATAAGAGCAACTACTTCACAGAGTAAAGACAACAACTTTATTCGTCAAAACCCTAAATGAAACAGCAGGGACTCTCTTACCTGGCAAAGAAAGACTCATTCTTTAAAACCCTAGAACCGGAACAGATTCTTTCTTTTTCTTTCTAGAGAGAGAAGGAAAGAGTTTTGGGTTTTCACACACAAACACAGATAGAGAGAGATAGATAGAGAGCGAGAGAGAGAGCACGACTGGCTCCCAAACGAAAATTTGGCTTTAGTTAAGGGGACTTAAAAAACATACAAAACAAAAGAGGAAAAGAACAAGAAAAAAAGCAGAGACTGTGATGTGATGATGGCATAAGGAGGAAAAATGAGAAATCTTAGAGTGTAACAGTTACTTTATCCATTGTTTTAAAAGTTGCCACGCTGCAAGCAGGCCACTTGGCACACTCTGGTAGTCCGTTTTAAATGGAGATTCAGTATATTTTGAAATTTTTTATTTAAAATTAATTTTTAAATAATATTATTTTAATATATTTTTAAATAAACAATACTTCAAAAAATAACTATCATTACACTTTCAATTATTTCTTTATAAACATATTTATTTTTAAAAAAATTATTTTTAATTTAGTTTGATTCATGTCTTAAAAATAAATAAAAATTAAAATAACAATCATTGAATCACTAAATCAATTTAAAGATGCATTTCAACAGCTTTTTTTTTTAATGAAAAGGTTAGGATAAAAATTTAAAAAAATAAAATTTTATATTTTTAGAGAATAATAAATAAAAATTAAAATAATAATCATTGAATCACTAAATCAATTTAAATATGCATTTCAACAGCTTTTTTTTAATGAAAAGATTCGGATGAAAATTTAAAAAAAATAAAATTTTATATTTTTAGAGAAAAATTAAAATAAAATCCTTGTACCCATTAAGTTATCTAACTTGATAATGTCAGCATGCAGACTAATTGGAAGGGAAAAAATATATAGACCGAGAGTAGATTAGACTATACTTTAAATGTATGAATTATTAATTAATTTACTTTTCCAGTTCAATAAATACCATAACCCACATAAAAACACTATGTATATTTTTTATTGTAATTTAAGATATTTTTTTGCTTGATAATATATTAAAATGATTTATTTTATATTTTTTTATTGGTATATTAAAATTATAAAAAAATAATTCAATATTTTTATAAAACTAAAAATATTCTTAAAAAACATGTGATGATATAAAATACAAGTAAGAGCCCATCAGTACAGTTGAGGTTTTTGCTAAAATTGGGCATTGTTTATTTTGGGTGCGAAGACAAAGCAAGGACAAAACAAGGAGTGGAAAAGGAATCAGGCAGGAAGAGGACATATGACACGTGTGCGACACAGCAGTGACTTTGTCGAAGCCGATTCTTTGCGTAAAAAACGTGGTTGCCAAAAATAACATAAACCTTCCAAGTTATTGTTTATATCTTGGCAGTACGTGATTTTTAAAATATTTTTTATTTAAAAATAAATTAAAATAATAATTTTTTATTTTTAAAATTTGTTTTTGATATGAGTAAATTAAAATAATTAAAATATATAAAAAATTAATTTAACAAAAAAGGTTTTTAAGAAGCACAGCACAGCCTTAAAAAATAAACTGTCCGTAGAGAACCTCCTGGTGCTGCTACAGCAGGTGCTGGAGAAACGCGGTGGCTGTTGCTGCAATGCTGCGCCGGAGATGTGAATTTGAAAAGGTTGTGAGTAAATTGTGAAGGTATGGGAGAAGGTATGGGTGCTGCTATTTATTTATTATTGGAAATATAGAACATTAGAGTTTGGGATAGAAGTTCTTTTTTTAATTTTAAAATATTTAAAAGTATAGTTGTTGTTGTTTTTTAGGATATTTTTTATTTGAAAATATATTTAAATAATATTTTTTTATTTTTAAAAAATTATTTTTGATATCAACACATTAAAATGATCTAAAAACACCAAAAAAATATTAATTTGAAGTAAAGAAAAAATAAAAAATTTTAATTTTTTTCAAAAATATTTTTAAAATACAAAAAAAAAATTATCCCAATCCGAGTTAATTCAAAAAATATAATATTTTAGTTGAATTAATGTTTTGAACAAAAATTGAATGAGTTTTACGAGTTCAATTGAAGATTTGATCTATCAAGTATTCCAAGTTTGATTAAATTTATATCATTTCAATTTAAAAAATCTAATTTATAATTTTTGTAGTTGTTTAAAATTTTAAATTTAAGAATTTATATTTTTAATTATAATTTTAAAAAAATATATATTTAATTAAAACTATCAAGAAATAAATTTATGCTTACAAAAATAATAAAAAGCAAGTTATTTTAATTTATATAAAATCAAGGTTTAGAACTGAGGTTCAAAGTAAAAACAATTTAATTAAGTAAATGATTAAAAACTATTTAATTAACTAAATGATTTTATCTGTATGACTAGGAAAAAAATAAAAAATATTATATTATAAAAACAATCTCTTCAAATAAACAATTAACTTATTAATTCAGTATAATTCAAAGACTATGTGTTTAACTATTAATTAGAGTGAATTAGATTTTCTAGACTTCCAGTATTTTAAAAAAAAACAACAACTAAAATTAGGGTTACTAGATCATTGATGCTTTGGTATGCAAGCCAAGTCAAAAAATTTAACCCAAAAATTAGATGGGCACCGCTACTAGTGAGTTTTCCCGTAGAAAAAATAATTTAAATTGTGCGGTAGTTAACCTCATATAATCCCTTCAACATAGTAAATTTAAAAGTAATATAATTGAATAAAAAAAACAACAAAAAATAAATATTTAAAAAAACATGAATATAATAATAACTTAATAAAAGAAATGTTTAGATGTTAACTAGCCAAGCCCATATTATTTTGTGGGTTTGTATTTCTTTATAAAAAGCAATGTTTAGATGATATAAACATGTTTCACATAAATAAAAGAAATCAACAATACAAGTTATACCGCCAATTAGGATTAATAAATTGGTTCTTATTTTAACTAGATGATGAAAGAAAAGAAATGGATATTAACCAAACAATTTTATATATAAAAAAAATCACAATATTTTGGAAAAAAATACGGGGGCACGAAAATAGATTAAAAAAAAGTGACAAAGAATTGGATTAAGTACCAAGATGCCCAAATGCATAATAAATACCTCCTTTTATAGGCCAAAATTGAAAACTATTGATTTAATGACTAATTGATGAGTGAGTAGTCAACCCTTGACTTGGTGACAATCCTTATCTTTTCTTGTCTGCCCAAAACATCATTGATAACGTCAGAATCAGAACCACTTAAAAAATATGAAAGTTATAGGAAATCGTCTCAGCTTTTCAAAAAAAATAAAGGTCATTTGGACTTCTAGAACTCTAGATATGGGCCAAACACTGAACAATATTCGGCTGCAGGACAGATTCAGACTCTTTTATTGTTGTTATAATTTGGACATGAAAATGAACTTTTTAAATCTTGGGCATCATGAAATTTGTAGGCCTATATCTTACCTTTCTATCGATATACAGTAGACCTAAATTTGAAATCTACAGTTCCAGATATGATCTAATTACCAAATAGTGTTTCAGTTTGGACTGCATCAACATCTCTTTTCTAAGTTTGTCCATCTTTTTGTCATTTCAATTTTTGTTTTTAAACTCATCAATCAATCCTTTCATTTATGTGATAGGCCTGCGTTTAAAATGAACATTTACCACAAATTAAAGGTATCTTATATTATTAGATATGTTATTATGAAACATGTTTTAGTTAGGGAGTTATTGATACTTCAAGTGCAAAATCATGGTATAAAACCTTGATAAAAATACACTTTTATGTACTAATTAGTACCAACTATATATCTGTTATATGTTGATTAACTGCAACTGAGAGGGCTCTATATTCAAATCCATATCTATAGAGATAATTTATTGGCATATTACAATATTTGGCTTTCACAAGACCTGGGCTTTCTTTGTTAGTTCATAACATCAACTAGTTCATGCATAACTTATTAGACACATATTGGTAGGCTATTAAAAAGATATTACAATATCTTAAACATACCATCCTAGTTGGTTTGTATCTTTAGCAATCACCATCGTTTAATTTCCAAGCATTTTTATATTTAAATTGGACAATTGATCACGATGATCATCGATTAATAGGTGTATAGTGTGTTTTTATAAGCAGAAATCTTATCTCTTAGAATTGTAAATAGCAACTTATATTTTTTAGAAGCAGTACATAAACCAAATATAAGTTGTTTGATGATACAACCTTTGAAATCAAATGGTTATATTCTGTCTTAAAAGATATTGATCTTACACCACAACAATCACTTGTGTTATGGTGTGATAATATTAGAGTGACATATTTGATGGTTAGTTTTATGTTTCAAGTGTATACCAAACATATCAAGATAAACTTTCATTATGTACATGATAGGTTAGAAAGAAGAACTTTTTGTTCAATTCATATCAAGTAAAGATTAGCTAGCCTATCTTTTGATTTAACTAATAAGCCTTGTGCTTTTCTTAACCAATTAAAATGTTTGCCAACTACTTTTTAGATTGAGAGGGCGTATAAATGATTCTGTTGAGTTAGAAACCAAGTGAGCAACACAAACTCTTAGTTGCCAACAACCAGATATGAAGGAGAAAATTAAGGAAGATAATGTAATTTGATATATTAATTATTATCTAGAAATTTAAAGCATTGTAGTTTAGCTATTGTTTTATACTACAATTTTATAAGAACCTTTTTTGCATCAAGAAGTATTGTCATGATGATGATGTACAATATTTTCAACACAATTGTAATTCCTCTTTGTTCTCTCATTCTATTATTATTTTATATTATGGTATAAACCTATATGAGATTCTTATATTCGAGAACGAAATGAAAAGCAGAGATACAGGAAAAATAGAGCAATGTTCATTCCAATTCAAACATATATCAACCGGTAAATAAACACAAAATAACTTCTTCTTTTTTTATCGAATTAGTTATGATAACATAAGAACATTTATTATACATGTTAAAACTGTGAGCAATTTTTGATATCATGTCAAAATTTGAATGAACTTGATGGATTGACCTAGACTAAACTGATTTACAGTCTAGATTGATTTGGGTTGAAGAAAAATTTGCAAAAGCAATTAATTACTTAAACCCTGTCACAAAGCTATATTGACTCGCCACTTGATTGACTTGGATAAAATCGATCAAATAATTTTTTCTTTAAAAATAAATTGATCAAAACCACATTGTTTTTATCCTTAAAAAAAAAAACTTTAACCATCATTGTTAAGATCAACCTCTAAAACTATGATTGTTTTAAAAATGATAAAGTTCTGAAAATTAACTCAAGGTGAGTTTAGAATTTGAGTTCAAAAAATATTATGGTTGAAAATAATGTTATAAATATTATGGAAAAGATTATCAAAATTGTGCGTGAGTTTTATCTTAAAATATATTTATATCCAGGGATATTTTATATGATTAACCAACTTTAATTGTTATATCAAAGTCAAGCATTATTTGAGATTACAACTATGTTTTTTTTTTAAAATATATTATTTTAATTTTAAATTATTATATTTTTAAATATATTATTTTAATTTTAAATTATTATTTTAATTTTGAATAGCTTTGATATATTAGTCTTAAAAATAATTTTTTAAAAATATTATTTTAATATATTTTTAAATAAAAAATATTTTAAAAAATAATATTTTTCACAATTACAAACACCCTCTTAATAATTTATTAATTCAAACCTAACTAATCCAAGTTAAAATTATGTTTAAATTAGTTTGAAAATTAATAGGATTAAACAACTCAATTAGAAGCGTTTAATTTAAACCTAACTAGCTCAGGTTAAAATTATATTTAAATTAATTTGAAAATTAATTGGTTAAACCTAGGAATCATCTAAACTCAGTTAAAGATGTCTAATCGAGTTTAAATATCTGTTTAGTAATATAGTTATGATTAATTTTTAAAATACTCTTCATTTAAAAATATATTAAAAATATATTTTTTTTTAAAAATTATTTTTAAAATTAATGTATCAAAATAATATAAAAATATTAATTTAAAATAAAAAAAATTAAATTTTTTAAAAATATTTTTTTTTAAAAAAAACTCTTATAATTACGGTATTTTTAGAAGACAAAAGTATTACAACTTTTTATCTAAATAAATATTTGGCACCGCCATCGGAGGAGAAGTCTGACCATAAACAGTTAATTTTGAATTAAACGACAAGCGATATGGATCGGGTGCCACTTTTTTTCTCAAAATAAAAAGAAAGAAATGGCACGAGCAAGCAAAGAGCCGTGCAAGAAAGAAGCTTGCGATATTCAAGCTTGTCTCTCCAAAAACAACTTCCTCCCTCAGAAGTAAGCAACTGATGATCTTTTCGTTTCGTCTTTCTTTGAATCTAATGTCTGGAATTCGTAAACTTGGCTTGTTGTCTCCAAAAATATGATATAATTCATGGGTTTTCAATGAAGATCAAATTTCTAGATATTCAGCTCTACAGGGCTTCAACCCTTTGTGCTTTGTTTACTTATGGGTTTTTTGCCATCTTAGCAATTTCTTATGCTATTTACCTGAGGCAAAAATTTCCCATCTCTCCCACTGTCTTTTAGATATTAATAAGAGAAAGAAGATGAACTGATAAGAAGGTGTTGAAACTTGATTTGTGATGGAGCGCAAGCAAATATTCCTTGACCAAAATGCATGAGAGAATGGGTTATGGTTATAAAGATGAGGAAGACGTGGTTGAAACCAAATATCGATTCAAGGTGAACCTTGTTTTCGTGAGTTTTCCCATCGATAAAGGAATGACTCTTCCCGGCCCTCCCATATACCAAAAAAGTGGTTCGAAAGGTTCTATACGCAAATCTAAATTAGAAAGAGGGGGTCTACGGATCAGTCAAGAGCTTCACCCCAGTCTTCCCCGGGGGAAGGAAGAAAAGCCAGAGACGAAATATAAAACCTCCTAGAAGCATTGTTAGGTTTTTGGGGATCACTTATAACTAGAAACTGCTTTAGAGTTCTGTTGTTTTGTATCTTTCTTGATTTTTTTTCCATAATGTTGTGTTTTTAATAACCCAGTTTTAATTTAGGCCGAAAAATGTGAAGCATGTTTCTTGATTTCATCAGCTTATGTCTTATTTCCTGACTTTTCTGTGCTGTTGTAGTTGATGTTCTAACTTCTACCGCGCGACCTTTTTCCTGGTTTCGAGTCTTAACTCCCGATGCTTCCGGCTCTTGATATGTGATTGAGCAGTTGTAGTGCTAAAGTTTCAGTTTGCGTCTTTTCAATGAAGCCCTCTAAAAGCTTATGCTCCTTGTGGACTGTTAAAAGTCATGGTTTTTAGTATCTGTCATCATTGGAGTTTTCAGATTCTCTGATGCTTTCTTGAAAATGTTGCCACTTAATAACCTGAGAGCATGCAATATATGTGCTTCAAATTGCCGGCAAAAAATGTCTATATTTTTGTGCTGCATAAATGTTTGCAAAAAGAATCTCTGCTCTGCGATGAGGGCCTGATTGGTTTGTGTGTCTTGAATTCTATGCAACTGATGGAGCGTGTGGTAGTGACTAGATTTGAGAAACCTTCAACAGTACCTTCTTTCCAGATGAAGCTGCTTTGTCATGTAGGTAGGTTCTGTTTGGTAGTTGAATGATTTTTTGATGAAGCAAGTTGGAATAGCAAGCACAACTCTTTTGGAGCGAGGTTAAAACATGTTTGTTTCTCTAGTTGATTTTACTAACTGCGTGATTGGTCAAATTGGTTGAAATCATGGTTCAATCCTTATCTACATGTAAAATGCCTCAATACCTCTGCTGATTAGCTTCTTGAGCAATCTCATTAGCCATGATTATCATCCTCATTCTTTTCTCAGTCATTTCTTTCTTTTTGCCCAGTGGTAATTTGACTTTCAGATGGCTGGCGACCCTCCAGCTTAGTTGTTTCTGGCAATACTCAATATATTAGGACGAGGAAGTGATTGCTGGTGCTGACTAGTAGCCCTATATATGGTGCTGAGAATCTGTAGAGTAGGGATTATTATTGATATTAATTACATAAAACTAACCAGTTAGCAAAACCTCTGTGTGCTAAAAGACCTTCTGTGTGGTTTGGTGTATTTTTGGTTAATTGATGCTATAATGCGTTTTCGCAATCTATTTCTACTCATTAACATGATCCAGTCCATCTACATATTAGACAACTGTCAACTTATTCACCTTCTGTGCTATCCTATGCTACTGATGCATCTGATTTTCCTCGTATTCATAGTTTCTAATTAGCATTTTGAAATGGTCTAGGTGCCTTAAAGTGATAGAAAATCTGCAGTCTTGCTGTGTGAAATGCGATTACAAGTCAACACATTGTGCTTCGGTGTCTGGCCTTCTGAAGCAAATGCCCAAGTGAGGCCACAATCTTCATATTGCCGTCTAGAGGAAAGGGATTGCTGTCTTGTCTGTTCTCTTCTAGAGGAATACAACAGCATCAAAATGTCACGAGTTTTACATCATGGGATACTGCAATTCAATATGTTCTGTTTCTCCAAGTAGAGGTATATGTGAGAATCTGATTCTATGCCAGGTGCTGTAAATTGTGGAAGAGAATATTTAGCCAGAGACTATTCTGTATCCTCTGAAGGGGAAAAAAAAGAGAAGCTAGAATAAAGCTCGAAAACTTGTCATGGAACCAGAGTCGATAGAAATGTTCACGTTTATGCGTGCTAGAATGCTTAGTAGCACGTTAGAGGCCAATATCATGCTAAACTGCTTCAAGCTATTTAGTATTTCCTTGTTGATTGATTATCTTCTGCATTCTATGCCTGACATTTTACTTGATGTTTTTGAGTAGACAAGGAAAAAAACACATGTATTTTATTTTGTTGGAGGAACAACAACAAAGATATAATAAATATATCTGAAATAGTTTTAAAATGAATTTCTGGCTAGGAATGTATCATCTATCTCACTATCTTCACAGTTTGGAAAGAGACATTAGAAACTTGCAATTTATTTGTGAACCTGGTGAAGATTCATGTAGTAAATTTGACATTAGTTCTTTGGGGCTTTCAACATTTTTTTCATCCTTCAAAGGAACAACTCGTGCATCTTCCTTTCCACCACCAATCACTTCAAACCAGTAGAGTATCAGGTGATCGCATCAATGCCAATAAAAAAAAATAGAAAATGAAGTGGATGATAAAGCATCCACTAGAAATTTGTTTCCCTGCACACAGAAGGAAGCTGAAGATTCTTTCTTGGGAAAATTGGAAGAATGATACACTATTACCAATGCTATCCAAAATCACATTGGCCAATTCTTTCTGTATGAATAGGGGGAGCTGTAAACAAGGCAACAGCTGATGCACTCTCTCACCTAAAAAGGGTTTAATGAAGAGAAAATTTTCACCTTCCCTTCTTACTGTAATGTATAACAAAACGAAAATGGACTCAACAATGGACAGGCGATGGTGCCTTGAGCTTTCTTTTTCTTTTTTCTTTTTTGCCACTCCCTCCCTGAAAGAGGTGCGATTGAATAAACGAGCTCAAGCAAAAAATGAATTTTATGGTGCTCTCGATGAATCCTGCCGCCTAAGAGGAATGCCCTCAGTACCAAAGCCATCCTCTTCTGTGTGCTTGGAGAGTCGCACGGGTAGAGATGGAGATCCTACATTTGATTTCAAAACATCAATCAGAGGTTAAGAACTCCAAAGATACTGGCATGGATCTCTCATAAATCATGCAGTTAGAAACCATATCAGTGTGCATCAAGTGCTTGGGAGACAAGGGGCACGGGTAGGAAATAATAATAATGGTTACAATAATAATGATATAGAGAGCATATACCATCAGCCATATCCTTCGTCTTGTGAAGAAGAAACGTTCCTGAAAGGATAGTCATGAACCCACACATTTCGGTGACTATTTGAGTTGGACTCTGCCTATCCCAATCCTGATTAGAATAAAAAGGATGATATTCAAAAATGGTTATTCATCATCAATCACAAATTTGCTAACAACTAAAAAACAGTGTAAAATCATGCTGAAAAAATTAATTAAAGTCAAACTTCAAAATATAACAAATCCCCAAAAGAGTCTAAACGCCAGTTGACCACAAATGAAGGCACCATGGAAACTTTTTTTTCCAAATTCCATCCTTCAGACTTTTAGAGCAACGATGACTCAGTGGTGGAAATAAAAACCATCACCTATATGCTTATTTTTCCTGCAGTACAAAGCTGTGTTTTGGGCTGAAAGGCATCAATTTGATGCTTGTTTGGGTGATTTTCAATTGTTTTGATCCAAACACACTTTGAAAAGCACTTTCAAAGCATTACCACTGCAGACAATTAACAAATCATATCAAGTTGACAAAGTAACAGAGGATGCTTTCTGAGCCAGTAGAAAAGCATACCTTGAACATGATTACACTTGCCAAAATTGTTAGTGATGTAAACATGACATAGTATATAGGAGAAACAACAGCAGTGTTGAAAGTGTCAAGCGCCTGCATATGAAAAACCAAAAATATAATCAAAGGACAATGAGAGGGCTGTCACCATAAAAAAACAATAAGTTTTGCATATAACCAGATGACAAGCGACACACGAGAACCAAGATGTTACTTGATACAAATCCTCGCAACTACAGAGTTAATCCTTATTTTAGGTGCAAACCTCAACAAGAGAAGATATTCAAACTCCTAAATAGTATCATTTACGCCAATTTTACACTTCTAGGCACCAGACAGACTGATGGATATTCAATTTACAACAGAACATGTTACACTTATGTCTCAATGCTTCCCTTGACACAGTACACAACAAATGGAGAAAAAGGATCAATGCAGCCAACCTATTAGCGCAACGCTTCTGCATAGTTGATTGAGCTCTCTCTCTTTTAATAATCATAATGGATAATAGATTTGTAATATTAACAAATTTTATTTTAAAGGAACAGTCTTTGGGACATCCCAAAAATCACAAAAGGGGAGAAAAATATTAGCACAGAGGAAGTACCCCTGGTGATCAAATGACTAAATGAGAATCAATCCAATTTTATTTTATCACAGCAACAAAAAAGGAAGCTAATTAATATAATTTCTTCATGTCCTCCAAAATATTTCATACATCCCATGCACTAGACAACATAAAGACCAAAAGATACTCTACCACCAACCAAGTTTCAACAGTTCCCAAGATCCATTGAAGTAGGAATTCCAACCCTCATCTCCCCGACAGAAACCCACACACCCGTACAATTTTCTATACTCAGCTAGAGACATTACTCCAAACATATCAGGTAACATAAAAGTCATTGTTATATTGTTTCAAGAATTTGGATTTCCCACATCACACAGGGTTTTTGATACCACCAACAAATAGCATCCTAAGCAAATGTTCCAATCCTCAGGTATGAATCTCAATCGCTTTTAAACACTAAGTTCTACCAACCCTCAAATGTATCAGCATTTTTTATTTCCATTATCCACCTTTCCCTAACCCTGGCAATTCTGTCAGCACAAATTATATTTTGCCTTGACATTACTCCAGAGTATTATACTTCAAGGATCATATGTTGCTTCATAAGAGAACACCACATCACCATCAGAGCAAAATAACACTATCTGGCCTTATAATGCTAATCATAGCAAACTTGAGCATTTAGCCATTTGAATCAACCACAAGAACAAAATACAAAATGAAAAACAAAGGGATGAAGACCAATCAACAAGATAACACTTCCAAAATCACTCGAAGATCTTAGGGACTTCATGAAGCATCACTGAAGAGTTTTAAGAGGTTTTATGAAGAGATACAATCACTCCACAAAGTGAGCCGATCTGATTTTGAAGCCATTCCCCTGATATGCAAAATAAAACCCGGATTAGCCCTTGTCTCTGCTCAACCTAACATATTAGACTCCTTGAAATAACACTCCTGAATTTGATAGATACAGTATCCACAAGAGGAGACAGCATCTCACACCAGTATGATCAGTTACATGAATGATGCCTATGATAGCGAGACAGTCCCTCAGCCAAGTTTGTAGGCTATATGCTCTTCACTCTAGATGCTCCCCTTCAACTTCCTCACGACCATATAATGCAAATTATTAGATTGATAGCCACATGACAAACCAAAAAAAAAAAAAATCTCTGATGCTATTATCACCAATTAACATCTCTTTGTCCTAAACTCTTATATATCATCTCTTGCGAAGTTCTTATTTAACAATTCCCTTCCATGCTTTTGAATATGAGGACCCAGTAAAAGAAAACTTAAGGAAAGACACCTTAAAACTTCTACAACAAAGCCAATAGCCACATATTTGCACATCATGATAACAAACACAAATTTTCCCATGTTTCATCATCATTGAAAGTACCATGACAGGAACGATTTTAACGACTCAGGAAGGTGCAATGCGAAAGTTATCAACTTCATTGGAATGTAAAAATATCCACCAACTTGCAAGGATCTTATCATAGAGGAAGTTAAATAAATGATCCAAAGAATAATGCTATACTTAAATAGATAATTATCTGATAAGTGCGTAAAAAAACCCTAAGATGACAGACAAGAAACTGCTGCTACCTTGTTCAAATAATTCATTTGGGTAAGCACACAAGTAATTACAACAAAGGCAAAGACCCATGTTTGCGGATATATTAGCTGATTCGTTCCTGACAGTGTCAACTTCAACGCAATTCCAAGTGCTTTAACACTCATGACCTGTCAAACATCAACATTTGAGAAGATCATTTACAAAAGGGGGAAAAACTTGCAAGAAAACAAACAATACAATAACCAACAAAAGTATAACAATACATACCGACAAGGAGCCTACGAGAGAACAAACACCAATGTAAACCATTATATGCGTCTGGCCATAGTCAGGGATAAAGTGGAATATGAGAATGAATACAGCTGCTATGACCAAAGCAGCATAGAACAGAAAGGCTGAAAAAAAAAAAAAGGGATACAGGTTTGTTTCTTAAGCACATTTCTTTGCAACTTAGTCTATTAGAATTATGATTAATATACAATTTCAAACTATTTTTATCAAACAAATCTATTACCAGGCTCCGTAGCAAGATCCCAAACTTCTTTCACAGATTCAATCTCACGTTCTTGAGGAGCATGCAGCACAATTGTTGTAGAACCCACAACACAAAGAACACAACCAAGAATTCCAAAAATATGCAATTTCTCTCGTAATATGATATGTGCAAGAGCAGCACTGCAAACCAACAAAATGTTAGGACCTGAATAAGAAATATAAATTAGATTGTGGTTGATGATCTGTCATGCCTTATAATAATGCTGAGAGCACCAAGAGGAGTGACCAGGATAGCTGGTGCAAATGCATAAGCTGCAAAATTAGCAATTTCCCCAACAATCACTGTTGAAATAACAGGCAAACATTAGAATGGACTACTTGGAAATACAGCTATGATGTCCAGATAAAATAAGCAGATTACCACTTTGTTAGATTTTAAAGGTACTACAAGTTGTGAAGAGTTTAAACAGAGGCTTTTGTAAAAAGATCAAACATAACTTGCATCCACATAGAACACAGAGAAAGAAAAGGAGAGACGCACTTACACATTCATATCATCTCAAGATCTAAAAGCAGATAACTTAAGAAACAACCACATTTGATGATGGTAAAACTTACTTGTTA